GCTTGCACGTGGGATCAGGGCAGGGGTGGGGCCCTGCATAGGTTGATTTGCCCCGGGCCCCACACCCTGCTTGGGTTGGCTTTGGGTGGAGGACAGGGTAGTTTTTTGCTTGGAAGTGGGAAATGGGTAGAAAGTCTGGATCCCAAATAGCAGGCTTCCCTCTAGAGCTTGAAATGGAATCCAAGCATCAGGGGCAGATCCAGGATTTCCCAAAGGGGGTGCTGGAGCAGTACCCCACACTGCAGGGATGGCTGCAACTCCCTGCTCCCTGTCTCCTCCTCCCCCACCTCTTCTACCTCCCCACCCCTTGTCAAAGGCTCCTGTGGCACCCACACCCACAACTTTTTAAAGTCTTGAAATCAGAGCCACTTGGGCAGAAGTGGCTCTAGAACTTCCTTCTTCCCTGGGGCAGTGGGGGAAAGGAGGAGCACCTGAAGGAAATGTGCCTCTGAACACTAAGGGGAAGGGAAGGGGGATTTTCACCTGCTTTAGGGGCTTAAAGTCCCTGGAGGCTCCTGCAGTGCACTGTGATCGAAAAAAGGTGTGAGAGAGGGGTTGGGGATTCAGCTGCACCGTTACAACCTCTCTGGATTGGCCCTTGCCAAGCATTCCTTTTATGGGCAAATGTCTGGGAAGCTGACTAGTGAAGCATGTGTAACATCTGGTAGTGCAGGGCCACATGGAGGACAGTGACCCACTTCTGCTAACCCCAGTGGCAGAGGTCAGAGGTTCAGTGTTCTGTTTTTGAGTGGGTGTCAAGATGATGAAAACTTCGTGAAACTTGTGTGAGGATTTTGTTTCTGGGAAATTTTTTTTTGTGTTTTAAAACTACACACACTTTAAAACAATATCAAAAGCTAAGAAATAAAATTAAGGTTGCCTGTGAAACCTTACTTCATGGCCTTTTGTTGAGCATTGCATCGTAATAGTCTTTAATTACATCATTGTGTACTTTTTCCCTACAGAAACTTATGCCTCATTAAAGTACAGGCTAGATCAGGGACTGGCAACCTGTTCAAGCTGTGGGTGAAACAACTCGCCTCCAGTCCAGCATTGGTGGGGGCTTTGGCAGAGTGTCTTGTATTATCTTAATGTTTTGTAAATGTTAATAAACCAAATTATTTTTTTCCCCACGTGATGCAAGGTGGTTATGTTATTTCTGTTTTATGGAGGAGGAACTGAGGTACTGAAATTAAGAATGGAATTATTCACTAATTGTAGGTGCCCTTTTTTAGAAGAAAAATCTGATTTTTCAGTTCTTTGTATTTTGTAATACTTCATAATGTCAAAGTACAATTCCAATTGACTTCAGTTGCAGTGGCAAATGCTTAGTGTTTCTGGAAATTTGTACCCTGTGGTATTAAGTTGGGCACCCAAAAGCAAAGAACACAGAGGTAGAGCTTGTAAAATATTTAAGTGACTTGACTGCAATTGCACTGCAGCAAAAGCAAGGATAGAATACACTATATACCTTTGCACATAGTACAGGAGACCCTCATCATTTGTGGGGAATATGTTCCAGAGATCCCCATGAACGGTGAAATCCGCAAATACGTTAGGAGCCTGGCGGTGGGAGCCCAGCGGCAGCAAGCGCAGAGCTCCATAAGACACCACCAGTGCTGGTGGCAGTGGGGGAGGGAAGAGTGAAGAGGAGTGGGCTGGATGGACCCACTGAAGACTAATTTTGAGAGAGAAAACTTCCTCAGGAACAGGGCAGTAGATTGATCAATCAGTGAGCTTGGAGGAGCTCCTGATCCACAATGAGTGTTAATTGCTGCTGCGCTCCCTCAATTACTGCTGCTGCAAGTCAGTTAATTAGTGAAAGCTAAAAGGAGAGCGTTGTGGGAGCTGTGAGAGCTGGCGAGAACATGCGGCGGAGAGAGCGTGGGTTCAAATATTTGAAACCACAAATGGCGAGGGTTTCCTGTATTCCCTGTATATAGTATGTACCTTGATTTTTTTGAAGGGGAGCTTGAAGGAAAAAAACATTTTCTTGAGGTGAGTGGCAGCAACTAGGGAGTTGAGGCCACTGCCCATCCTGTGTGGTGGATGGGGCCTGTGGATTGACCAAGCATGCTAGGTCCAGAGCTGCATGATGACTATGCCAAGTCTGGGACCATACACTGGTTCTGGAGCCATGGGCCGGGTCCAACTTAGTGTATGGTCCCAGAGTCAGCAGGCAGGGTTGGACCTGGTACATCGGGACTGGGACTAGATTGGACTCGGCTCTCGGGGTCTAGCTCTGGATCAGTTGGAGCATGGTTGGGGAGAGGCTCCTTATATGTCTAAAAATTAGGCTGGGGGTGAGGGACCAGTTGCCTTGAGTCATGCCACTAACACCGGCACTGCAGTCTTCTGCAGTAAAGAACCCTGTTTTCTGCCCATGTTGGATGCATCTTGAGAGGTAGGTAGGTGTCCTATGGCTAAATAGTGCATAGTCATCTAATTAAAAATCATGTGACATATGCTTAAGGTGAGGGTAGGCACAAGTAATGATTTCACAGGCAATCAAATGTGGAGTTCCCTGGCTTTTGAATATTTGATATATTTTTGCAATGTTAATGTTTTTGAAGTCTTTCTAGTATCTGCAAGTAATATATCGAATATATAAGTTAACTATATTATGTTAAAAAAAGACTATTGCAGTGGTGATACTGTACAGTAACTTAAAGAGTGATGGAAATGAAAGCCAAGTTTTTATTCTTTCTTTCTTTCTTTCTTTCTTTCTTTCTTTTTTTAAAGATTCATTTTGGAAAATGCCACACAGAAAATTTGGTGATGGTGATGTGGTGATGGGTCGTTGGCCTGGAAGTGTCCTGTATTATGAAGTACAAATAACTAGCTATGATGACCTCACTCACCTTTATACTGTTAAATACAAAGATGGAACTGAGCTTGAGTTGAAAGAAAGTGATATAAAGGTGAGTACTCCTTCAGGGTCAACAGTATTTAGAATCAAAGTCTACTATAATGATTTCTTCAGAGCTCAAACTTAAGTTTATAATAGTTGGGTAACTATAAGAAGTGCCATACTGGGTCCAGACCATTAGTTCATCTAGCCCAGTATCTGCCTCCTTCCAGAGTAGTAGGTGCTTTAGAAGGAGAGTATATGAATTGTCATATTTAGAATGTCTCCTGTCAGACCCTTCCTGGCATCAAACATCATTGGGTTAGGAATGTCAGAGGATATATCCCTGTTTGTTCTGTTTAATAACTTCCAATGGATTTGTCCTTCATAAATTTGTGTCTCTAACTTTATTCTTGCTCTATAGTAGAATAGTTTTGGTTTGTAAGTAATTGCTTATAAATAATAACTGTTTCTTGTTTGAAACCTTGGTTAAGAAATTCAAAATGTTCCTAAAAGTTTTAAGAAACTTGATCCTATTATTTTGAACTGTTTTGGTAGTGCTTACAAAGCTATTAACTAAAACATTGTTAATTTGTGCTTGTGTTGATAAAAACAATTAGCATGTCTCCTTCCCCCCCCCACCCCCAAAAAAAGTTTATATAGGGGGGACATGATATTTAAAGTCTTCTTAAATATTTTATAGTGATATTTTGCTTTACTGACTAGATGGGTCTTCAGGGATAGTGAGAGTGACATCATATTTATTTATACCAGCCTCTATACTCTTTACTCTCTCTGCACATACCTGTTTCTTGTCTCTCAAATTTATTTCATTTGCTGATACTGGCAAACACCTTTATGAAGAGCCTGCATATGGGATTCTCTTGAATGTGATGTCCTCATGGGAGTGCATGACATAGGAAGTGTAACTGATATCAGCAGAACATTAGAACTGTCTTCAAAGTACTGTCAAATATATTAAGTAAACTGGATAAATAAAGCTTGCAATTATAGTATTATACAGATGCACCATTTTAGATGTGTATAATTTTTAGTTGATGACAGTTCGCTTAAGATACTAAGGCTCCATTCTTAGAGGTATTCTGCAAAAGAAGATTATGTAAAGGCCTAAGAAGTGGTTTTCCCAGACATGTATTGTCTGTCTTCAGCTGTGTGTAACACAAGCAATATATTAGTACTTCTGGAATTCTGTGCTAGAGGTGGTGGTAATACAGATAGTGTAGTGCAGTGGTACCTAGTCTTCTGGCTTTGTGGACCAGATGAGTGACACAGGGTTGGCTTGTGGGCCTGATTTGGCAGCACCTGAACCTGGTTGTATGATCTGATATGGCAAGGAGTCATTGACTGCAGTAGCTGCACTTAAGACAAAAAGTGATGTGGGAGCTGCTAGCATTCTCAATCTGTTGTAGTAACTGCCTCCCAAAAGCCCTGTGTACACTTGAATAGGGGAAATAAAATGGAGCCCTGTTGAACTCCCATGTGAGGGCCCTGAGGACAGAAGACCATTGCCCACAACTATTCTCTGGAATAACTATGCTCTGGAGTGTATGAGAGGTTTTCTCAAGGCAATACTGTCTACCTTGCTGATCTCAGAAGTGTCAACAATGCTTCAAAATCTAGGGTAGATAGTTGACAGATCTTACTAGTCACCTTGATTTTTGCTATTGCTAGGGTAGAGATCTCTTACTTTTATATCACTGCAGCCTCTACTGCAACCAAATTTATAACGGTGAAGATGAGAAGTAATCAAATATATCTCTTGGTACAACTGCTCAGGACTCAGCTAGAAATGGAAGACTTGAGGCTAAATATTAAGCAGGCTGTTCCTCCAGATCAACCTTGAGTGATGTTAGCTGAGTAGGGAAGCTTGCATTTCCATGGTCTCCATTGCAGTTAAGTCACTAGGGATGATAGTTGAGCCCCTTTCTGAGTAATTACATTTATTACAAACATTGAAGAATTGTCACAGTTATTATAGATGAATTTCAATGATGTAAGCATTTTAACAAATAACAGAAAAATGACTGTAGTGTAAAAGTCTAATTTATAGACCGAAGATGGTAAAATGAACCTGAAGCTTTTTTCCTCCTTCATGTCATAACCTTTGAAATTTTTCCTGGTTTTTTTTTTTTCAGTCAGTATCAGCATTTAAGCATAGGAAAAGCAATTCAAGTTCTCCTTCTAGACGTGGTGGGAGCAGATCAAGATCTCGGTCTCCTGGCCGGCCAGCAAGAGGGAGACGTCGTTCTTCCTCCCAAGGCAGAGACGCTAAAGACGACAAAAAGAAAGCAATTAGAGAAACTAAATTAACACCTGAGGTATTGGATTTATTTTAGTTTGAGATTTTTCTTAATATTACCTGGTTGGATTTATATGCAGTGTATTTTTATGTGCATTTTCTTAAGTCTTTATGTTTTTAGTAGGGCAAAAACTTGAAGTTTTGGACTTAGATGTGTCTAGATTTTTTTAAAAATCTAGATGTGTTAAATTGTCTTCTCAGTCACTATTACTGGGTTTCTTATGGTAACATAGTTGTTTAAAAAGGCTCCAAAATATAAATAACTTATAAACATATACGATGATATAATTTTGAAAATTGTAGACAGCTTGGAGAAATCTCTCTGGAAGGTAATGACTTTGCTTACTTAAAGGGTTGTGAACAGTAAAACCTAAAGATGACCAGGAATGTCACTGCCTGAATTTAAGGGAGCAAGCATTGGACTGGGACTTGGGTTCTATTCTTCACTCTACTATTGGTGTGCTGGGAAATGGTGCTCAACTCAGTTCCGTCTCTGTTCCTGACTTTTCCCTTATGTAAAATGTAGTTAATCAGTAAATTCCTTTGAGATTTGCCAGTCATATCTCTACGTAAGAACTCAGTGGTGGGTGTAGCACAATAAAGTAGCAGAGAGAACTTAAGTTGTTCATTGAATTAGTTGCAAAAATAAATGAATACATGCCATATTTACTCAAATGCAAAATAGATTTTTTCCTTGTATGTGATTATAAGACAAGTGACATTTCCCCCCAGGCCAGTTGGGGGAAATCTCACTAAATACATTGTCTAACATTAAACCGCTGACAAAAGCAGCATATTCTTAGCAATAGAAACCAACTATGAAGTTGATTAAATGCAGCCGACATTGAGCATGACAATAAAACACACGGCCATATCAGACAAACATGCTGACAGGAACTACCACAAGGATGGGTTAGTGCAGTTCACCTGAATAACATATATATAGTAGCCAACTCTTTTTCATGTCATGGTGAGCCGTGGCATTGCAGAAACTTTAATTTTTCACTCCCAGAGCTGAGCTGAGCCAAGCCTTTCTCATTTCCAGTGATTCCTGTTTTTTCACCAGCCTTAAATGTTTTGCAAACATCATGAATTGGGACCCCAAATAGTTCACCCAGCATCCCTCTATCACCCCTCTCTCAACCTGGCGCACATGATTAGTGTGGTCCGTCCTTCCATGAGGTGAAGCTGGACCAGGCTGCCCTACATCTCATCTGCGTATAAATTTGTGGAGAAGGAGTCATGACAAGAACACCTAGTTTGTCATGAGCAGGGGCTAATTACCATGCTGGTCCTTTTGTGGGGGAGTATCTGGAGTACATACACATATACTGAGCAGTGCTGAGCTGAGGGGTCACCAGGGCTTGACTTGCTGTTGACTGGTAGGGCCAACCCAATGAACTATGTAGTAAATCACAAGCCTTTGGCTTTGGATTAATATCATGCATAGTTTGCCAATGCGCTGCTCCAAAATGTGCTTATGGAGTACCTGTCTTAAAACCTGCAGCAGTTTTTTATTTTTAAAAAAAAAAGTAACATGCATCAGTTCTTGATGAACTAAGTATATGGGTACTATATGCAAATAACTACAGTCATGTTTCGTTTCAAGGTTATTGCTTACAAATTTGCTCCGTGCTTCCATGTGCTCCAGGAGAGCAGCATCTGACACAGGAGGAAGGCACAGCCAGGATAAAAAGCTGGGGGGAAGCAGCTTCTTGGGGCTACTCAGCTCCTCAGTTTTATTTTCCCTGCTATAGCAGTGGGAGGAGGGCAAAATCAAGGCAGACCTCCAATAATTAGATTGTATACCTGGAAAATTATATCAAATGTATAATTTCCGTATTTAAATTAATTATTGGGGGGTTGTCTTATTGGGGTTGTCTTCTGTTCAAGTAAACATGGTATTTAATTATATCAAGATGTAGAAATTAGGGATTATTTTTGTTGATTTTAAATCTGGTGTACTGTGGAATTTAAAGAGCCTTGTCTTTGGGTAAAATTGGGGAAGTATTTTCATTTACATAGGGTGTTTTTCTAATGGATTTTAACTTTGCCAGACTTCACTTTAAAGTGAATATTTAAACTGCTTGCTTTCATCTTGGGAGCAAATTTGTTTTAAAGAAAGAATTTTGGTGCTAATTTTTGAAAATGTCAGTCTTCCACTGTGCAAAGTTCAATTTTTATGCATGCATATATTTCTATAGTTTTAAAAAAAATGTTTTGGTGAGATGGAAACTCTAAATTTGGTTGGCACAATCTGCATCTTATAAATGGCTGTTTGCAGATGTGGGGAAACCCCCCACCATGCTTTACCAGAAGAAGCAGCACATTAGTTTGACGTGATTCTGGAGCGTCTGTATAGGCTAGGTGCTTCAGCAGGGCTTTTTGGTGCTTTTAAGGGAGGTGATTCAATCAGCTGTTAGATAAGTGCCAAAGAAGACCCACTGTATCGCCCAATCTATATATATGCTGCAAAGCCAAGTTGAACCAACACGCTGCTGCCTCTTTTGGGCATATGCTGGGAACCGAGTTTAAGGTAAAGCGCAGTCTGTGCATAGCCAATATTATTTTACTGATTCACTGAAAATTAGTTTTCATTTGGCTGAATTCTAAAGACTATTTTAAGGCAGTGAGTACTCTGGATTTTGTTATAACACAAACTGTTTTGTAGCTGTTGGGGACAGAGCGTAGCCGGTTGACCACACACTTATCAATGTGTTTTTAATGGCTATGCGCCCCAGCTCACTCCCTTTTTGTCAAACCACAGAGTCTGGTTTTGGGTTGTTTATAATTTAGAGCATAGAACCAGATCCATTGGTCACTGGTGTGATTAGAGTGGTCCTGTCCCTCAAGAACTCATCATTTTGTTCAGCTGCTAGAACTAGATGGGCCATTTCTAACTTCCTTGCTACAAAACAGAAATTGAAACCATGAGGAGAACAAATAGTGTATGCATTTTAATGGTCTTCCTCCGGACATTACATTTGTTGTGGACTATATGCTAGTTTCCAATGACAAACAGTAATGTTAAAGGAATTTCTCCCTTGATAAAAATGGCCAATCCACCAAAAAATGATGGATTCATGATAAAACTTATAGTTTCAAATGGCAAATTCTTTGTCATGTCAGGACAAACCTAACACCTGACCAGGTGTTGTTATATTACACTATACCATGGTACTCTTCTCCCTTCCCTCTCCCACCGTGCAGGGGGGAAGGAAAACTGGTTCCCTGACATCCCATCTGTTGGGGAGGCTTGTGGGTTGCCATGTCCCTGTTGCTGTTCGTTGGCAATTGGGACAGGGCTGCTTTGGCTGGGTTTGCCCAGGTGGGGAAACTGGTGTTGTCTGCTCTTGTACAACCCAAGAGCTGAAAACCTGTAAAAACCTCCCAGGCTGGTCACATGCTCTTTAAAGGCCCCAGCATCCGGACAAGTGTCTGGAACAGCCTTGGTTCCTTTGGGGTGGTGGGTAGTAAGCAGAATTGTCCCCATTCTGCAGGGATTGTGGGAACAGCCTTGGCTGGTTGGCAAGGATGTGGGGGTTCCTTGCAACCACTGTAAGGTTCCTGGGAACTCTGTCGCCCTTGCTGCCTTGGAGCAATGGTGTTATGGATAAGCGTGCACTAATGTATCGGTGGCATATTGGATTGGCACTGACAAAAGGAAAATTAACATTATCAGCCGTGCTGAGAAGGGTCGCTCCGGGGAATGTTGGGCAGGCTATATCCCACCCTGCAGCCACTCCTCCCAGCATAGCTGCTGCCTGCCCCACCCCCCTGGAAGAGGCTAGCACAGCCCCTGGCCCTGAGCGGGCAGCCCACCCTCACCCTATGCACAGATCTCATGGGGTGGGGGGCTCATGCCCCCCTTGCCTTCCCCTGGGGTGTGCACAGTGGTGGGAGCCACCCCCTGGACAAGCTGCCCATGGCTCCACCCCATTCCCAGGGCCCTAGCTGGGCAGCACCTGCATCTGCCCCACTCCCTCTCTCACTGTGGGGGCCTTGATCTGTCCCCCACATCCCTTCTCCATCCCACAGATTTACTGGCAAAGAGCTGCTCTCCATTTTGCCAGGCTGCATATAGGTTATTGCCAGATAAGTATCAGCTGATAAGGCTGGTTAAAAATCGGCCGTGGGTATCAGCCAAAAAAATCTTCATTGTAGTTTTATAGTTAGTAGGGTCGGAAGGGACCTGAGCAGATCATCAAGTCCGACCCCCTGCCATGGCAGGAAAGAGTACTGGGGTCAAATGACCCCAGCACGGTGATTTGTCTAGCCTTGTCTTAAAGACCCCCAGGGTAGGAGCCAGCACCACTTTGCTTGGAAGTTGGTTCCAGATCCTAGCTGCCCGGACCGTGAACTAGCGCCTCCTGATGTCTAGTCTGAATTTACCCTCTGCCAGCTTGTGACTGTTATTTCTAGTCACTCCTGGTAGTGCTCAGGGGAACAGGGACTCCCCCAATGCCTGCTGGTCCCCTCTGACTAGTTTGTA